CAAAAATTGCTGATATGAGAATTTATGGGAAACAGCTCCTTTTATGAATAATTATTATTATTGTGTCTAAGAAATGGGCAAGATGCCTAGAAATTGAATGAAAGAATGAGCTATTAAATTGAAATATTAAATGAAATAACTGAATTAAAAGTAATCATATAAACCCTGCAGTAAATGTTGGGAGCTGTAGCTGGTTGAACATATTTTCATCATCTGTTTTGTATGCTTAAATACAATTGCTTGATGTAAGTAAACACTTGATTGATATTCTGAATACTTTAAAATCTGCATATGCATCACAGAATACTGAACAATTAAAACTTAATTTCAGTGTAGTTTGATTACATGTAAATTATTTCAATATTCATTTTTTCCTGTTCTGTTTGCTTAGTGCATATTTGATATCCACTTTTTGAATGCATATCATCCTTGATTGGACTGTGAGATGAGGAGGACTCTGAAATTTCTTCCATTAAAAAGGATTGCCTTATAAATATTATTTGTGCCACAGCTCTTCCCCTGCAGATTATTTTCTAAATGTTGTGTACCCTTATTGAAGACAACGAAAAAAACTGCTGCAGCCCTCCTTTATCAGCCCAGCACAAAGAATATGCTTACATGGTCGATGAGCATGTCTAAGAAGGCATGTTGGTTGTAACTAGTCCCTAAAGAAATGTTTCCATCTTTTCTGCACTGTATTTTTCTCTTGCTTGCACAAGCTTTCTCTCCCTTTCCTTCCCCCTTCCTCCACATGATTTTTTTTTCTTGGTTCCTGGACTTCTTATGAGACATTTTAATATTATGGGTAAATATTACCAATATTTTCAAGTTGACCATTTTCAGCCTGAAAAAATTTATATCTCTAAGTGAGCACATTCAATTTAGGTGTTGTGGAATACAGATGACAAAATTTTGCCTTTTGATCTATCTGTAGAACCCCTCATAAAGACTGAGGAGACTCATTTTCCTTTCTCTGCAGGCTGCAATCCATGCATGTTGTTTTGATCTACAGTGTTTAAAATCAACTTTTTTTCTGAACATCCAACAGGAGGATACCCTGCACATTTGATTTTCTTTTTATTTATGCCAGTGAAAAGAATATCCTCCCTGAGGTTAATAGATAATGTCGTATTTCGTTATTACTTATCTATTTTATTTACAAATAAAATGCTTCCCTGACATCTTTTCAGTTAAGTCACATTCTCAAAATACAAGCAGGCAGCAGGTCTGCCACTCCACCATGGACAGCAGGTCTGGGTTCTTCTCTGCTTCAACCATTTTTGACCCACGTGACCCTTGTCGTATCAGTCCCATTTCCCCTAAGTTTCCTTTTCCATACAGTAAACATACTTAGAGCCATCTTCTTAAATCTTTGTAGGATATGTAGAAAGGTTGCGTAAGAGCATATAATAACAGTAGGATTTTGTTATATGAGGATTTAAACTTAGTATTTTGTGTGCTGAACAGCTTTCAGAGTAATATTTTCCTGTCTGTCCTGTATAGCTAATTGCAGTTTGAGAGTTTTAATCTTGAAGGTCATATTTCTGTTGGCTGTCACTTTGACCAAACAAGTGGCTGAACTTCATGGTTTGCAGGCAGATTTTCTTATCTCTCTTTTTCAAGAGATATATAAGTCTTGATTGCTGGAGTTATTGTGAAGCAAGCAGTAAGTGACAAGGTGCAGGGAGGAGTGGGAAGACACTCACTTCAAGACCAGTACCCTGTAGATACCATTTTAAAAAGTAATTATTTGTACCTTGTAATCGTAGTACAAGAACAAGAGGGAGGGTGTTTTGCTTGGGAGGGGGAGGGGGGTTGTTTGCTTAAGAAGCTGATAAACTGTAAGTGAAGTGTTCCCAAGACAAAACGTGCTTATAAAACAGACATTATTAGCTTGAGGACAGTCTCCTGCTGTACAGAACTCCCTCTAATTGTTCCTGTAGAATAAATCCAATACAACTTCCTTGCCAAAGAGACTCAAAATAATGAGTACATTCTCGTAAAGCTAGTTTGGAGAAAAACTGGACATTCTTGACTGATCTAATACTGTTCGCCTAAGCAATGTAAACTTGTCACTCTTGTTTGAAACCTCCACCTTATTTTAAAGCAATTCCATTTATAATAATTTATGAAGTATCTGCGATTGTTATTTCCAGCACTCTTGGTCTGTGAAGAGCATTTCTTGGATAGTCTTTTTTCCCCACTTTTTTTTCCCCTCAGTACAGATCTGAAAATAATGAGCTAACTTCACAGTTTTATGAATAGGGGCCATAATGAGACTGAAGTATGTATATTGACAAAGGAAAAAAATCAAAATCTTTGTGAAACAGCAGAGAAATGACAGCTCAGAGGCCATGATTCCATTCTGCAGGTCAATCAAAGGAAAAAGTTACTTTACATCTTTTGGTTTCAGGCATTTTTACCTTGGCTAAAGCAAATGTCATTCAAATAGTCTGTATAGTTATTAACTCTGGAAAAACAAAATAATGATGCAGACATTCTTTTTAGCTAGTTGTATAGCCGGTTTCTGTTTGGTTTCCAATTTCCCCTCTGAGGCCTAAGAATGTATATTTAATCTGTAATTGAAAAGAAAAATATGCCAGAAAAAGATATACAGGATAACTGTTCGAGATACACATATTTTAACATGTACTTGTTTGTCTTAATTAAAGCATAACTTCAGAAGCAGCATTACAACACAATGTATTTTAATGGAAAATCCTTAATAGAAAGCATGTTTAAAAGCTTCAGATATGTAGATGTGCAGGATAAAATGGTCCTGCACTGCCTCTTCCCCCGTGATCAAGAGGTTAACCTTAATTCATCTCTTCCCCTCCCTTAAACAGGTTCTGTGAGGAGGGCTGCAAATTAGTCTTGGAAGACACAGCAGGAAGATTAGCTTTAGGGAGGAAAGGACTCCCCACTCCAGCTCTTAGGAACCTCATTTGGAAAGTGCATTTCCTTTTCTACCTAAGCTAACATATTGTGCCTTCTTGTCACAAATGTTATTTCTTGAGGAAAAGTCCTCACCAGCTCTATCTCAGAATCTGCTGAATCATTCCAAGTGTGAGGTAGAAGAGGAGAGAGTGATAAGACTGTAGCAAGAGGGAGGAAGAAAAATGCTTAGGCTTTGGCTGGAAACTGGAATCCCAATATGGCACATCATACGGACTCCTTCACCCACCAAGAGGAAGGAGGATGCCCACGTTTCCTTCTTGTTCACACTGGCCTAAGGAGGAGCTACTGCATTGCCCATTGTTTCCTAAGATACCCTCAAGGTACAGAACTGTGTAAATACTGGCATCCGTATGATGCTCTCTGACAATATTCATTGGGCAAACATAAACTACACCTTTCTAACACTTAGAAATCACAATGCTGCTTTTTCCCTACTGGGTCAAGGAAGTCATCTCCTTCCCCAACATCAATCATCTACAAGTGATCTATTGTTGAAATTGTTAGAAGGTGAAAAGGACAAAACTTCAGCAGTAATAGGGAAAATACAGAAGTCATTCTACGTGCAATAAATATTTTACTTCACAACTGAAATAAAATTGTTGTTTTACATATCTAAAAATTATCACCAAATCTATTCTTGCAGGTTTTTTTAAACAGTTTAAACATGCAGTAGAAGAAAATGTGTACAAATAGAACCACTTTCTCACTCACATTATGGTTATCTACATGTAGTACAAGAGGGGCATTAGCCCAATTTCTTCTGCACAAGAAGTTCTGCAGAATTTCTTTTTTAGTTAGTGTTTGCCAGCGCAATGATGTATATAATCTCAGAAAGCTTCTGAAGGATGACTTGCTTCTTGCTGCTTCTGTGGAATCCCTAAGGATTGCAAACAAGAGGATATATACAGCCTTCCACAGTATCTCCATCCCGTGGAGGTGTTTGCTGTAATTGCCGGGAGATGGTGCATGGCTTAGGTAGAAAGAAGGTGGCAATCTGTGTCATTACAGATGGAAGGAGCTGTTGTTTAGCAAGCCCTCAACCCACTAAAGTATTGGTTTTCATGCCACAATACAGCTCTTCTGGGTTAAAGGTAAAGGTGAAGTTCATTAGGGACTGTAGTGATAGGAAAGTGGTGACGGGTTAAAACTCAAACAGGGGAAGTTTAGATTGAATATAAGGAAGAAGTTCTTTACTGTGAGGGTGGTGAGGCACTGGAATGGGTTGCCCAAGGAAGTTCTGAATGCTCCATCCCTGACAGTGTTCAAGGCCAGGTTGGACAGAGCCTTGGGTGACATGGTTTAGTGTGAGGTGTCCCTGCCTATGGCAGGGGGGTTGGAACTAGATGATCTTAAGGTCCTTTCCAACCCTAACTATTTTATGATTCTATGATTCTGTAAGTTCCACATCCACACTGCTCCCTTCATACTCTACTGCATCTGAAGGCCATATTCAGGTGGTACATTCTAAAGCACATTTAGAGGTCATTTTTGCTTGTGAATTTTGCTCTTTTTCTCCATGTTTTACCTCATTAACACAATCTTCTTCACCATAGGATCTTCAGAAAACTCTCAGGAGTCTGCTAATACTGGGCTAAGGGAGTTAGGAGGCAAAGCAGTGTCACCCCTACCGTCTTTAGTACCTGGGGATTCATGACTGTTTAGGATGACTCAGCTGTATTATCATCCTTGGAGACCTGTAATGAGGGGTCTGTGAGGACAAAACACAATGCAGTTGAGCTAGCATTGGCTAGTAGCTGTGTTGTGGCTGGTATCTTTCAAAGGATTGATTTGTTATGATATACACACCTTCAGCTTCCTTCTGAGTCAGCTAGATCTAATGGGTCTCAACACTGAACATAATACTTGCTGAAGGTTTTAAACGATGAAGTTCTGCAATCTTGAGTATGATCATACCAAGTTTCCCCAGTAAAGCTCTGGCATCACTTTTGATGAAAGTTGAAGCACTTCATCTGCCCACTAACAAAATTTGATGCAGCTCCCAAATTACCCTCAGCAAGTAACATTCCTCCTTTTTCTTGCAGGTACCAGAGATTTGAAAAAGCATTTCTGCTGGCTGTTGACATAGGTGCTCGGGACCTGTTTATGGTAGGTAATTTCTGGAGACAGAGGCTGTTGTCAGGGTGTTAGTTGTCAGCTTTTGCACACATTAAAATGGATCAGTGTCATTTGCAGCCTTAGACACATACTGAAGAGAGAACTATTCTACCTGGTTTGCCCTTTGCCATCATGAAACTCATCAATAGGAACTAAGTATCTTTGGAGTCATTGACATTTTCCCTAGCATGGCCTAAAGGCTATTCTTTATTTTCCAGGAATTAATGTATATGTTTTTGAACTTTCCCCTTCTTCATCTGTCCTGATGTGTGTGAATGTCATCTTTCACTCTAATAAGCTTATACGTTTCTAATCCGTTCCTTTAAGAAGTACAACTGCTGAGTCCTGGACACAAGAGCTGGCCATATCCTGGGGATCCTGAATGCTCTTAGTTTGTCTCTTAGGGTTTTGTGAAAAGTGACAAATTATGAACGCTTCTACAGGTACTTTTAAAACAACAAAGCTCAGCAGCATCAACACAAGGGTTTTTACATTTCATGCACCCTCTGCACCCTCCCATTTAATTAGCTACAAAAGTAAAATTAACCAGCTCTTAAAAGGTCCTCTGTGTGAGCTCTGCAGGAGGCTCTTGTTTTATAAGATCTTGCACCACAATGTCACAGTGAGGTCAGATGGACAAAGCCAATCGTGCTTTCCTAGTCTCTCAGCATGTCACTGCTCCACAGCTGATTTCATTGTTTTCAAAGAAACAATAGGAAAAGGGCTTGCTGGAAAAAAAAAAAAAAAAAAAAGCCCTTTGAATGATTCGTTTGCTTGACTCTTTTGCATAATGAAGACATTCTGTTGTTTAAATTAAGCTTTGACACTAGATGTTAATATCATTTATCCCATTAAGTCACTTGCCCTGCTAGTTTGATCTTGATATTTAAATTGTATGTTAAATTACACAATTAAATCCTGCTTTTATGGGTTATGAAATTCCCTTCTAATTATATAAAAAGTTGTGTGAACCTTTTGATGTTTTTTTCATGGCTCTAATCATCTGGCTTGTTCCATCTAATTAGAAAGATGTGAATACTGCGATAAACTTTTCTAAGTGTGCATCAAAAGAATGTGAAGGAAAGGTCAGACTTTTAGGAAATTCATTGCATGTTTTATGTTTACTCGCCTTGATTTTTCCTCTTTTTAACTCACCTTTTTCCTTTTCTCTTTTTACCGAATGTAACTTCTGCAATGCAAATTTTATACCTAATCAAACTAAGTACTGCTGCAGCCACATGTCAGATCCAGACTGCAACATGTCTGCAGCAGGTTACAGCTTTTTGTTGGGGGCTCTCCCACCACAGAGATAATAAATTCTCCATGAGTAACTCCAGCCATTCTGGCAGAACAAATGACCCAGCATTTGGTCTGCCATCTCAAGGGCCCTCTGTCACATGGCTGAGAGCATTTCCTACATGGTCATTTTCTCTTTCCTTCCTTCTGCTGACCCCAGAACTGACAGATCACCTCTGTCCCAGGGTGGGGAACACCAGTGCTGGCTCAAGAGATGGGTGCAAAGCTGCTAACAAGAGGGAGGGACTTTTATTACCTGGCTCCACAAGTGGTAACATGTCCTCCTCTCAACAAAAAGGTTCTCCAGTTTTCTTCAAGAGGAGTTTCAATATTCACAGAGAAATTAGCTCCATCCTTTCCTACTCTTCTTTATTTTCCTTTGCCTCTCTCAACACCTACTCTCCATTTCCCATCTCATCAAGGCTCTTAAACATAAATATATATTTCCATGTAGTTCCTCCTTGCTTACATTACTGTGAGATCAAAACCAGTTCCATATTGTCCTCGTCCTGCTTTGAGATTCCTCATAGTTTCCCCTAAATTATGCAACAAGCAGCATACACATCTGCCTCTTTGAATCCTCTGTTAACTGGCTGCATCCTCTGGGGATCCTTTTTTGCTAATTCATCTGCTAAAGAAGGTACTAATGAACAAACTTTACCATAAGCTAACAATGGCACTACTTCGAGACTGCTAAGTACGGGACTCAAGAAGTTTGAAGGTGAATAGGTCATAAAAGTATTTGTTTCTGCCATAGTAATTTCTAGGGAATTGGGCTTCATTGCACTAAATACCTTGTGAAAATTAGACAACTTGTTCCCAGAAAGCTTACAGTCCTTCTAGGTATTAGTATAATGATGCTATTTCTAAGAAGGTTTGTGCATACTTCACTTCTGCTTAGCACTTAATAATTTCTACACGTTGTTTATGTGCTTCAAAATGTAATTAATAACATACAACTTGACCTCACCTGTATTTAAAACATATACAATTATGTGCAGTACAAATACCTATACTGTTGTTTTACAGACCGTCCAAATCCATTTAGAAAACCTCAGATGGCTCTAGGAGTCACATCACCTTATTCCCAGTGAATTTAATGGAATTTCAAGAAGAAATAGACTAAAGAAAGATATCTGCTGACATAAGCAAAATGAGAAAGAAAAATGTTTATTAAAGGGCAACAGAGAAGGAACGAAAAAGGAAAAGATAGAGAGGAGCAGATAGAACAGAGGCTCAGGAGTTTTCAAATGTTGAATACCCATATTCTGAGACTTCTAAGGAAGCATCCTACGTCTTGGAGTATTTATCTCAAGTATCTCTTTCACCAAACAGGGCTCTGCAGCATTCCTGTTATTTGTTTTTGAGGTTGCAAAGAAGTTTGAAAGAACGCTATCTGAGGGCTAATTTCTGTCAGAGAAATTAAAAAGAAAAAAACACCAAAAAGGCTTTAAAGTTAGTCTGATAGCTATAGCGTCACTAGTATGATGCCATAACAAAACACACGTACACTGCTGTGGCTCTCCATAAGCTTTACCCTCACGTCACATCTAAGTCCATCAATTATTATCATCTCCTACAAAGTTCAATAAAAAAATAAAACTGAAAAGGACATAGTATTATGAACAACAGCTACATTTATTGGACAGTGACTGATCCAATCTGTGACAGAAAAGATCAAGCATTAGAAGGGTTGTTAGCTTGAAATCCTTTTGTAGTACGCTCCAGCTCTCAGCTGCTGAAAATTCAAAAGGCCATCCGACGTACCAAAGGTAGCAAAAAATGCAAGGAAAAGACACTTTAATAAAACTGTCAGATCTTGGGTGATACACTGATGAGGAAAGTGCATGTTTCGAAGAAACGTTGGAATTTTGCCCAGAAATATCCTATAGACAAATGCACATCAGTGTTTCAAATTACTTTTGCTCACCAAGGGCCAGCTCTGTGAGTCACAAAGATGAGAGCAAAAAGGAAGTAGTCCGAAAAGTAATCAAACTGTTAAATGGTAAAACACAGGCCTTTCAGCAAACTGCTGACAAGCAGCTGGAAATTGTTGTTATTGTCACCATTGTTTTTGAGAGGGATGGGATCTTTGGAATGATAAATTCTTAGATAATTGTGTGGAAAAATCTGTAATGAATATTCAACTAAATTAATTTTTTTCTGTTGTTCTTTAAGGGACCCTGTTATCCAGTGCTGCTGCTTTCTTTTTATTTTCTAGTTTTATTCGTTTTACTCAGAGAGTTATAAATTCTTAGGAAAAAAAAAATTTTCTCGCTTATTTGAATGAAGAACACCTAAATTTGATCTGAAATCGTCTAACTGGGAGGTTTTATATCTGTAATCTTTTCTTTCTAGAACTTGTTTAGAGATAGAGATGAGGGGGTTCTTTTTAATTATTCTTTATGACAGCAACTTAACAAACCATGAGGAAAGCCACTTACAGCCTTCTGATGTTTGTCCTTATTTCTTAAAAGGTCACTGTTATGGATATGCCGCATCTTTACATTTATTCACTCAAAACAGAAAACACAGGCAAAAAGGAGATCTGAAAATAACAGATATTTTGATATAAACAGCATGTACCACCTCTGAACTGAAAGATCTTTGTCATTTTCTGAAGTAGTTTCCATCCCCTCCCCAAGTTTGTTATTTAAAAGTGCATGGAAGTATACAATACTTCTCTTAGTTTAAACTACAAAAAGACAGTCATTAAGCATAGTCAGAATGTATTTTAAATTAATGAACACAGTCTGCCTATACATTCAAATCTCTCTAAGTTCAGACTTGTTCAAGAGCCCTTAGGTTTTCTATTGTTATCTAAATAAGCTGACAATATCTACTGTTTAATCTTCATAGAAATCATACCTTGCTACTCAGGCCCTTTTCTCCTGACAACCATGTTAGACCTACAAAGAGAGGAAGTACAGAGTTCGCCACAAGTTCGTAACTCATTACTTTGCTCCAAGACACTTGCACATATTTTAAGTCACACCTGTGTCTGTAATTAGAAAACGTTGCTGTCTCCTGTTGGGATCCTGCAAGGCAGTACCATGTTTTCCTTCATAATTAGTCTCGGTTTTCATCATATTCTCAGTTTCTTACTTATTACTATTATTATTAAATAAGGGGATAATAAAAGCAGCATCTTTTTCTCCTAACACTATTACTGTCACATTTTTCATCTAACTTCTCTTTCTAGAATAAAGTCACCTTTTCTTGTAAGACTTTCTATCATAATGATGAGGGTGACAGTAAACTCATACTGAGAAGGACAGTTTCACCTGAGATATTATGCATTAGTGGGAATATAGTTGCTTTTATGGTATGCAGAAGTCAATATTTCCATCAAATACTCCTTTTCCCTTTAAATTCCTGCATGCAGATAGATTGCAGAACAATGGCCAGGAATGGCTTAAATCTTTGGATACCAAATGACATCTTCAGCAAAGAAGTGGGGAAAATAAACTTTGCCAGCTGTTTTTGGATTTTCCTCATTTTATGTGTCACAGGTCATGCACAGAGCAACCTGTATCTATGACACCGTAGGAGAAGGGGATTAATTGTCTCCTTGCTAATGGTCAAGGATGAAACTTTACTTCAAGAGCCAAAACCAAGGACATTGAGGCTGTAATTTGTCAGAGAAATATATTCTCCCACAGGCAGTGCTGTACATAGTACAGGTGGTTTTCACCTCAAACATTAACACACAGTAAAAAAGCCTTGCAATTCAGCATGTGATGATACACCCCTGCTGCAGCTCTCTCATTTTTAACCCTACATGAAGGACTAGATCCTGAGTATTAGCAACTATTCATTGCTAGACAACAACATTTTTGGAATGCTTCTGGTGGTCCAGGAATGACTCAGGAATTGTGTCACCTATGTGGGTGTTAAAACCATTGAGCAACTGTTGTCCCAAAAGAGCATTACCCCAGAATTTGTGTACTAGGTGGAAACCTTAACCCACTTCAGAGAGGGGCTGTCAGCCAGAAGAGTTGGAGTACTTCAGATCTGGTTTACACAGAACTGCCTCCTATCAATCCTCTCTTAATTCTTGTTGCCCCAACAGAAGTTACCTTAAAAGCAGGCAGATTGGTTTCTTTCATACACTGAGGCAATAGCTTCACTTTTAGCAGTGCATGATTGGTCAGTGTTTTATTCATTGCTGCATTCAACAGCACAAGTAAGATAATAAATTTGCATTGGGGGGAATTAAAATGTAATGGTAGGTTCATCAGTTCCATCTGTGTTTGTGATCTAAATAATAAAAGAACCTCTTTCTTTCAAAATCCCTTTTGTTACTCCTATGAGATTCATTTTAGATTAATCTCTTCTTTTTTTTTCTCTTTTATTTCCAAAGGACATCCATTACCTTGCACTAGATAAGGGTGAATTGGCACTAGCTGAAGTGGCAAAGAAAAAGGCTAATGAAATTGATGCAGAATCAATAACTACTAGAACTGGTAAGAATGAATGGTGTTTAAAAAACCCTTTTTGTTTTAATCAATACTTGTCCTGTACAACACCATGTTATATTTGTAGGAGGGTTATCATTTCAAATGCATTGTTTTCTTTGAAAGTGAGACAGTAATTTTATTAATAACTAAAGAGGAAGGCTTACAAAAGTAACATGGCTTTACCTTTCAGTACCCATGTGAGGATTGTGTCAATGCAAAAAAGATTTATGCTGTGGCTATATAGTAAAGTTCAGGCTGTACAAACTGAATAGAGTGCAAGAGGTAAGTGACTGAATCTGAAAAGTTTTATTCATAGTAGTGTTAAAGTCCAGGTATGGCAATCTTATTCAACTTTAAATATTTGCTTGTACACACTGTGCCGATAACTGGAGTCATATCATGGATGTTTTGGCAGCATTCGGACGAAGCATTTACTGACGTGAGCACAGGCTCAGATCGTGGCTTTAAAGTAACAGCTTTGCATGCAGTGGGATTCTTGCCATTCAATAAGGAATACTGATGCAAAAATTGCAGAGTCAGACTAATAGCTCCAACAAAGACAACTTTTCATGCAGGGGAACTCATAACTCATGCACATTCTCCTTATGTTTCCTCCGAATTGTCGTGAAGAGATGTATGCAAATATGTAGCCCGTTTTGATTTCATGCCCATAGCACAAACCAAGCAGAAAGTGTCTAAGTCTTGTTAGCTGACCTCCAGCAGAAAAAGTAGACAAAAATAAAAAAAAACAAACCACAAAATGATTGTATAAAATATGCAGTGCTGGTTTGCTTATTCTACTGCATCTTTGAATATTATGAGGAAATCACTGAGCTTTTGTCCTTGTCCCATGCCAAGAAGTAAAATATGATTAAAACTCAGCAGTCAAAAAATCTTTCAGATCTTGAGTAGCATAGAATTCTTCTAGAACTGTACATCTTGGTGTTTACCCAGAGCATACAAGCAAATGCCATTCAAATATACAGAAATGGTATGTGCATTTATGTAGCTATTTCTCTACATTGCATAAATCCATGGCTTTAGAGTCTATGCGTACAGTATCACCTCCTTCTCTCTCCAGCATAGTAGAAATTAAGCAGTGCCTGTCCTGAACTCTTTTCTTCAGAAAAAGTCTTTCATTTTCAAGCTTAAGTCACTTTAAGCATTTTTTACACCACATCTGGGCTGTTGGGCAAGCCCTTTCATCACTAGAATTGCCAAAACCAACATTTATTTAGGTCATCAGTTACTGGGCACTCTTTATAGTGTACAGTTACATTTCCCTTGCTTTCTCTTCTCTTACTTCTTAGGTAGTTGTCCTCTGCACCTAATACAACTAAGATACCTAAGATTCTTACACTTAATCCAGAAAATTTAAGCTTCAGTCTGTGTCTTCATTTAATTTCCTGCAAACTTACCCTATTACTAGATTCCTGAAGTTTTTAAGTTTACTGAGAGCCTTATGTAGTGTTATAGACATATATGCAAAGAGAGGGATAGGGAAGAAACCTGAGGTGCTCACACATGTATATCAGATTGCTCACAAATTGCATATCATATGTAATATATGCGTTACTACAATTCAGTTGTAAACATGCAGGTACGCAACTTTCCCCTCCTTCAGAGCAGTCCTACAGTTAGCTCTGTAATGCCCCATAAGCATAAATTATTAAAGTCATTTTATATGATAAAGTGTTTAAAGTGCCCTCATTTGCTGAATAATTAGCTATTAGAATGATTTAAAATACTTTTCGATGCCCCAGGGACAAACTGTCACTGAGATTGAGTTTATAAACAGTAATGAATTTGCATCCAATTCATTTTATATGAAAATAAACAGTAATCATCCATGAGTTCATTTCACTGCAGATTGGATCTCACCTTAATCACGTGAAATCTTACCCACAGGTTTTGTCTTATCGTTATTCCGGCGTCTTTTCTTGATGATGTTTTTATTTCATAAACTGTTGTTAGCAAGGAAGGTGTCATTAAGAGGCATGAACTTTGCGGACCCAGTGAAAACAAAAGATAACAAGTGCTTTTTTAAAAAAATTACCGTAGTTCTCTAACATTTTGAGAGGGAGAGAAGCTCATGCCATAGCCAGAAGTTTTAAACTGCTAATTCAAACACATTCCTGCCCCAAACTGTCTCCTAAACCCAGTCCTCTTCATCTAGTCCCTGCTCTCTGAAGCTTTCAGCCACTCAGTTTATGAGTGGTCACACTTCCCAGATCAAATCCCAAATTTATTGAGCACCCACTTTAGGCTTCTCAAGAAGGCAACAACCTAAGCAAACAGAGGGAATAAGGTGCAATCATTGCTATTGATCGCAAGTTATACTGAATAACCCCCTAGATAATATCTGCCCTCTCTACAGTATGTTTCATATATATATATTACAATATAATATTTGGTCCTAAATAGTACAAATGTGAACTGTTCTCATCTATCAACTTCTGATGATGTTTCCTGAGCTAGGCCATGACCAAAATTCAGCTCAACAGTACTAGAAAATAACATGAGTCAGTGATCCTGGCTGCTTCCCAAGCCCTTGAGAGTGCTCCATCTTGCCCCAGATATGTCTAATTTGTCAGGATATTTCTGTGGACAGGGCTTACTTCAAACCTAATATATTTCAAACTTGGACTTCTGGAAAAGTTTCAAGCTCCTACGTATAATGTGGAACGACAATATCATTTCAGCTGAAATTTATAGATGTCATCCAGAGTTCTATAATCATTGGTGGGTTGTTTGCATATATCAAGATTTGCATCAAGATAAAACTAAGAATAGATGGATTGTTTTAAAATTTTCTTAATTTTAGCTATTCTCCATTCATCACGTGATTGCAGTTTGCTATACACTGTTTTGAGGAAGCCACTGTCAAAGCTAAGAGTGTCTAGGTGTATGTGGTAAAAACACCTGTAGACCTTCAGAGCATAGTAGTTTGGTGAGAATATTGCTGAGCAAAATTGAGCTTGCTGCTATGGTTTTGGCAGAATTGGATATTTTGTTCAACTGATTAAAATCTTATACTGAAAATTATTCTTATAAGATTTTATGTTTGACAGCCTGTGAAAATACATCTTGAGGCATAAGAAGATTGGACTAATGGTACTGTACATCTCAGAGACTGCTTAGCTGCCTCCTCTTCCCTCACTACCATTTTGTCAGCAGACCAGTGGCCATATACTGTGGGTTCCTCTGCCAAAGATTTTCTGTAGTTGATCTATGAGTTCCTTAGTGAGGTCAGGGAGCTCTCACTTAGCTTGCCTAAAACGTATGGTGTGCACCTCATTTAACTTGATTAAAACAGAGAGGACTTTCTTCAATGTTAACAGTATTTGTAGGTTGCTAATTCTGTTTATGAATGTGTTCTTGTGTATATGCTCCTGGAACAATATTGTCCGTGGTGGAAGAGTGTGTCTTTTCAATGCTGTAAACTGTAGGTTCTAATGTAAAACTTGAGTTGCAAAGAACTGACATAGCACAGCCTGTTAAGAAATGCCATAACTAATAGTGATCACAGAGGTGAAGAACTCAGCCTTTCAGACATCATTGCTCAATGAATATCCAATGAAGAGCATATGTAGTCAGTGTCAGAAAGTTTCCCAAGGCCAACTTCCAACAAATTGCATTAGAGCCTAGCAAGATGATTTTAACCTTCGAATCAATAGCTTTCACCCAAAAGGGATTCATGTTATGACAAGATAGATAACTGCTGCATAGTTGAAAGGCAAATTGGGAAACCCTGTATTTCTTGTGAGAATTAAATTCATAATATTAATAATGCTAATGTTTAGGCAACATTTTTAACAGAGGTCTCTTAGTAAAAACGCTGATGTTGAGATAATTGCATTGTTCTGAAATGCTAGATGAGACTGACTAATGTTTTGGTGGTTCAGTTACATCTAATGAAAGCACTTGAGGTTTTTTTTTCCACTTAAAACAGAATTTTAAACATTTCTGGAAATACTCCATAATGTTTGAAAGTGAGATAGGAAATCTTATCAGTTCTCACAGAGACTGAGGTCTAATTTCCCACACAATTCATGAAATGGTATTTAAAATATAGAGGCCCTAAGTATTTCACCTTACTGGCAAGGAATGTCACCAGTTTGAACCTTAAGTGGAGAACTTCTTCATTTCTTCTTAGTTCTGTGATAACTATTTTATGTTGAAAGGCTTACATGTTATTTGTGATAATTAATAATGACACATGCTATGGTGTTTTGTCTTCCATACAGTGTGTCGGAGATACCAGTCTGGTCTTGCATACAGTCTGCTACCTCCAAATCACTTGTAATTTAGTCATCTCTTCCCCTATTTCTGACAGTCCTGGCAAGCCTGCTTGCATTTCAAGTCCATGTTTAGAATTGTCCCTCTGTTTCTGTAACCTTCTCTGCCCCTGCATTAGCCTAGTTGATAACATTTGTTCCTCTTCTGATCCCTGGTGACTCCTTTCATCTATCAAGCAATAGACTTCTTTCTTACCCTCATATGCCTTCTCTGATGCTGATGACAAAGCCTTCTTCATTTCCTACTTTTTGTTGGTACACTCATCTTTCCCTTGCTATCAAGTTTCAAGTTATCTGAGAATCTTAACCTTTTGTTGCATACCATGATTGTTATTTCACTGTGTAACATGTTTATGATATCCTTAAAAGGTACTATACAATGCACAGATGAACTATGATCTGGAAAGACTCAGGGGACACCTGCTCATGCTACTTTTTTTTTGAGCTCTACTTCCTTCAGTGTAAATATTAGATCTCCTATTTGTTTATTTATATTTTCAGTTTAAGTCAATCAAAACCTCTGCGATCAAATCCTTTGCCTTTATTTTTCTAATAACGTGACTTTTTCCTCAGAGGGACAGATCAACATTTTTAATGAAAAATGTTTTTCAAGTATGATTGGCAGTTCACCTATGGGAAGAAATCAGTTTCCACAAGCACTTTCTAAATTTTGTGCCACACAAGATGAGTGTCTTTGAAGAGCCATAA